TTCAGTGCTTCCTAGCTTTTCAGTTCACGCTTCATTTGCCATATACACGACGAATTTCCACTTTGACAAGTGTATTGAACTTTTCGGACACGATGTTAAAATAACCAATACACACGGGGATATCTTGGAAATCGGTTGCGCGGTTGATTATCCACAAACTCAATTATGCGAGGGATAGACCATGCTAAGTGTATAGCCCTCAGAGGCTGGACAATCAGAAACCTTGATAAAAACCACAGGCACGATGGGCCATATTATGGATAGAAAAGCCAATGATAGTTAGTAAGAGATCAGTTTATAGTTTTTATATCCATTAATCACGCACTTTCGTGCCCCGGTTTAGTTGCAAAAGGATGACCAGTAACAATGACAATTTTCCAGAAAATTGAATATACGTATTCAGCGAAATGATGAAAGCTTTTCCGCCGAATGACATACCATTTATAGGGTCAATAATGTTCCACTGTCTCCCAACTTACTCGGCAACTGCTGTTTTACCAGCTGAGGTGTGAGCGGAAATCATGACCGACTGGTTGTTATCAATGCATGTTATAGCCTGTTGCTGAAAAGCATCCAATACAAACGGATAGGTTTTGGCTGGCGGTCGTGTATCCTTGGTGAGTGGCTGGTACTCCATATTTGGTGGCACAGCAACCTACATAAGCGTGTAAGTGCACATAAGAAGGTAATGTGGACGAACCTCATGGGTACAAGAATCCGGAGCCGATATTTTGTATATTTTGATACGTGGAGCTTTAAATTCCAATGCATCGAGTTCTTCCGTTAATTTCGAACGTTTCTGTGGGAGACTGGTATTCTCTGTTTCTTCTAGGTTCTCGATCAACGGCATGAGAGATGCCTCAGCCCTAAAAATTGAATTGTAAGGCAAAAGACAAGACAGTGTTACAAACGGGCAGATGTTGATAATTGTCTTGAACGTAATGATCGACTAAAAAAACGGGTGTGCTAATTTAACTTAGATTAACAGATGTATTTCTGAATTAAAACCACAGAGGTCATGGCAATCGAGGGTATCCTAAGTCTTCCGTTTGAAAGCAAAACTCGTGACAACGATGCACCACCTCACTCGTTTCATTTAATTACTGCGTAGAACAAACATCCGTGAAATTCGGAAGTGATCTGTTTTGCACTCCAGTTCAGTTCAGTTCAGTGTGAACAACCATCAACTATGCATTTTCGTGCGCCGTTTTTGGATGCTATCTTTTGGCTGCCCATTTGGATGAATAATAGGAGAAGACAGGAAAGTTGAAGTAGAGTCGATACGAAAATGGCAAACATCATTAGACATGGCAACATATTTGGTGACATGAGTATCACATGCCCCAACCAACGTAATCTACGGAGGTCGACCACTTGCTCCAGTGGACGACCACAGTTACCCAAAACTCTGCGCCCAACCTCAGCATTATTCATCCGGTTGCCCCACCAGATTCGTGCAATGCTGCGTAGAAAGCGGTGTTCAAACACTGACAGTCTATCTTCGTCCTGTTTTCTTGATGGCCGAGTTTCTTCGCCATATAGCAGAACTGGCCGAAGTGCCGCAGCATATATTCGACCCTTCACAGACAGCCGGATGTCGCGACAGCGCCACAGATGTCTTAAGTTGGCAAATGCCAACCGTGTGATGAACAGCAGATGGGGTAAACCCCATAGTCCTGAGGACCTGCTGGTCATTGATGAAAACCGGTAACCCAAGCCCTGTGGGACTTTAAGTGGCGAACCACATAAGGCTCTGATAAGCTAGGTGTGGTATCTTGAAAACATCCGCATTTAATTCGTGAGCAGAGAAGCGGCATGCAACTTGATGCAAGTCGACAACATCACCTGTTTTATCTTCAAATATGCGGAGTATACAGGAAGGGTACTTGAAAGATCAAAAAAGGGCTGTAACTTCTTTCGGTACAGGCACACAGCACCTTCCAAGTACAAGGAATTGTTGCAAGACTGAATGTTGACTACCGTTAGTTAGTTCAGCAACCGCGAATTGACTAGGTTTGACTGATTCACCTAGGTGGTAGATAGCTTTGCTGTCGTCCGGTTTAATGCCCCGCCTAACCTGGTAAGGCCTTACGTGGCTCATCACTCCAAGTCCCGTAGGGCTTAGGTTACCCGTTTCCATCACTGAACAGCGGGTCCTGGTGACTGTGGGGTTTACCCCGTATGCTGTTCATCACGCCAAGATGTGTAATTAAAAAAATTGTCCTTCAACTGATGACAACACAAGGACAAAATGATTTACATATCCACACTCAAGCGGACTATGCCGGACTTCAATAGCTGAAGGCGCGAATGGTGTACTTCAGCACAAAAATTTCTGCTGCGTGATTACAATGCTTCGAGTGTGTACGTACACATTTTCGGCCGACGACGATCACGTATTTTTCTAGGTATTTTTTTATTGAACAGCTAAATATCATGGAAATAAAAACGGACTAATTCGAATGATTACAAGAACTTAATTTTTCCTTGTGGTAACAGACGATCTAAGCTCGGGGATTAAAAACAGTGTTCGTGGTGGTTAAGCGGTTTAAGTTGCTGTCACCGGCGTGCTTGGGGTAAGTGGGATCGAAATTCGAATCCCACCACTACATTGGTGTTTAACAGCCTTGCCGTCGCCCGATGCAATCCTAAGCCTACGCTGATGAAGTTTTATGTGGTTCATCACTTCGATTCTCGGGGATTAGGTTGACGGCTTCAGTTATTGAACAGCAGATTGTAGTGACTTTGGGGTTTACCCCGTCCGTCGCACAAAGGATGTGTGATCAAAAAGGGAGTACTATCAAGCCGGAAAACAGTGAAGCTGCCGAGTCTCGGAGCCTAGGATACGGGCCCTCAACCTCGGTGTCTAGAGTACACCAATGACAGTGAATTATACAGCATGATAGTCATTATGTGGTAAGGGGGAGTGGGATGGCAACAAATTGCAATACGAAATTTTAAGTTCGATGGTTGTGTAAACTGTACTGAATGTAGAAAAATATGATACGTGTTCACGATTGTTTCAGCGGAGAATTCGTTTCAAAGATTAACATAATCATAGAGTGAAATAGTCTAGTGAACTTCACTAATCGCTGCAAAACTCACAAAGTGCTCAAGGTAAGAATGCGTAGGGTAGATGGCTAAAGGGTGTGTTGAGAGAAGAGTAGAGCAAGTGAAACTCGGGTCAATACAGAATAAGTAGTCTAGTTTTTCATAAACACCTTTTCAACCATTCTAGCCACATAAGATCTGGAAAGCACACAAATGCTGTTGGTTCGCTGTCATGTCCTTCAGTGACGCCAATCATCAGTTACGGAATCTTTTGGATCTCATCATGGTAAGCAAGAGACAGCAATTTAATCGCTCTGGGCATTCCTTTATGTACCGCATAATTCTCTTCGTATATATATATATATATAT